CTTAAATGCTTCCATAGTCCCGCGGTCCAGACTGGTCCACAGAGGTGACCGAGCCTTTTCAGTTGTGGCTCCTAAACTGTGGAACCAGCTGCCTCTTCACATCAGACAGGCCTCAACTCTTGGAGTTCCTAAATCTCTTCTTAAAACACACCTGTTTTCAAAAGCTTTTAATGTAGGATGAGAGCTGTTTTCCCTATTTATTTGGTCAGTTTTATGGTTTTATCATTCTGTTCTGTCAGTAATGCTTTGTTTTTAGTTTGCAATATGTGAAGCACTTTGGCCAATGGCAGTTGTTTTTAAAAGTTCCATATAAATAAAGTTGACTTGACATAAAAGGCCTCTCCAAACCAAGCTCCCAGGCTGAATTTCAAACCCACCCCGCACCTGGTTTAGGACCAAGGTGTGAATTGAGTTTAGGTTAGTTTTAGGGTCAGGTGGGTACCTGGGAGGTTAGTTTTAGGGTAAATAGTCAGAATTAGGATATAAAATTACTAAAATATGTATGGAAGTCAATCCACGGTCCCCACAGGGATATGAAAACAAACCTGAGTGTGTGTGAATGTGTATTTTGGGATTAGTTTATTTGAAATGACTAAATGTTTCAGGGCACCGTCATGAATATCAGGCAAGAATGAACCCATGATGCAGGCAGTTTCATAAGAACCAAAAATTAAAATTTATTTAAACAGAAAGTGCTGACAGGGCAGCTCAAAAACTCACAAGGCTTGGTAGGGCAAAACACAGGACAATACAGAACAATTATCTGACAGGGAAGTGAAGACAAAACACAGAATTTAAAGGTGAGACTGATGAAGACCAACAGGAAACACCTGGGGGAGAAACATGAGGAACAGGTGTGAGTGGGCGGGGCTGGAGCGAATCAGACAGGAGGAAGGAGACAGATGACAATACAGAAAACTAGAACAAAACATCAACACAGACACCAATCGTGACAGACACATGATTAATTTAATTTTTAGTTGTTGAGGCTGTCAGAGAAAAAATGTGCATAAGCGGTAATGAAGGTGGGATTCACTGTTTATTTTTTWAAAAACAAGAGTGTAGCCCTGACTTTTTGTTGTTTTTCTTGTCCCGTCGTCCTGCAAGTTGAAACAATATCCTGCATTTTACTGTGTCAAATTATGAAGTCAAAATAAATGAAAATATGATAGATAAATGAAAAGATTATTTGATGGCTGCATTTTGCAGCCACTAAGTAACTATGTAAAAAATAAATCAATAAAAATAAAAGTGCAGCTAAAACAAAGACGGGCAAATCCTGTCAGTCTATAGACAGACAGATAACAGCAGCTCAGACCAGCTGTTCTGCTCCTTCCAGCTGAAGACTTGTGTGGATCTGGTTATGGTTTCCTGTTATTTAATGTTATTTTTTCATTATGCTAAAATTAAAAGGCATTAAACTTTAGAGAATGTTTCTTAACCAAAGTTTTTACTGATAAACTTTAAAAGTTTTAAAGGATCAGGCCACCCTAACTGGAAGTTTCACAGCTCATGATGGACAGCCACCATAAAGAGTGGTCCAGTGTAGAGCAAGTTCTATTTTCTTTTGTAGTTTTTGTCAGTAAATTTCTCAGAGCTTACCAAAACAAAAACAATATAAGGGTCTAATATAAGATCTTAGATAAAGTTCAGCTCAAAGACTATGTAGACTATGATTTACAGTAAATACCATATCATACTGTATAAAAGTTTTATGTTTTTGTAAAGGGATGGCCACCTCCTAAAATGCACTTCAAATGGCTGGAAAATGCAGAGTTTTGAGTATATTTTTTCAGAAATTTCTAGGGGCTCAGCACCTGAACCTTCCTAGACTCAATTTGTTCTGCTGGTGCTCACATACAGCTGCAATGAAAATAAAATAACCCAGTCATATTAAATGTAGTGTTTACTTTTAGGGTGTGTTTTTGTGCTTAGTAAAGTAAATTTAAATGTGTTTGGGTATGGTGTACATTTTATTTTTTAAAGGATTTGTAATACATTAACACTATTTTGTGACCAGCTGGTGTTGCTGAGTTAACAGGGTGGAAATCTGAGTGGATTTGTTGTTAAAGCCTGTAGAAAACTGAAAGAATGAGTAAAACCATCACATCCTGTCTCAAGAACTCCTCACAGAAAAACCTGAAGACTAAAGTGTTTGGATGAAATGTGGTTTAAATTTGTCAAGAACACTCAATGTTTCCCTATTTTAATAAACAAAAATCTTAAATTTTAGTAAAGTTCCTGTTTTATACATTGAAGCTCGACAGAAGTGGGGCTCCCTGTGTGTGCGGTCTGATGCCCGTTAGGAGGAAGAGGAAACTGGGCTGTTCTTCATAAAGCAGATCTTTTGTTTCAGTCTGATGATAAATACCTGGAGCAGGTTCAGGTTCCTCAGAACTCCAGGCTGTCATCATGTATGCAGACGTTTGTCCTCAGATGATTTATGAAAACCAACACGCAGGTAAAAGACTGGGTTTTATTAGGTATCAAACACAAAATTAAATTAACGTAGTCATGAATATTAGGGAGACTGTTTAATTGACAGATACATCTTACAAATATAGTTAACATAATTTGATGAAGAATGTAAAAAACTATTTGAAAAGATAAAAAAAATCGGAATATTTTTAATGAAAAGGTTGGCAAAGTTTACCTATGTTACATTTATCTATAATTTCTTCTTTTTTTCAATTAACATAGTTTAATTGTATTTTACTTTAGATTAATGTTACACCTATAAAAACATAATGTAGCAATCTTGGGGTTACTTCCCACTTAACTGATTATTTTAATTTTCTTGTGACTTTTTAAAGTCTTAGTGAATTCTGTAATAGTGAATATAATTTTAAACCATATAAAATATTTTGAATGCCAAGGAACAAGGTTGGTAAATAATCTGGAAAGTGATTATAAAAATGCTGATTCAATTTGTTGAAAAGATTGATAAAAGTAAGTTTGTTGTTGAAATACAAAAATGTATAATGTGTACTCATAAAAGGTGTTGTTCACGAAGGAGTTGAAGTTTTTGTTTTGTTACTTGAAGATTTTTATTGG